TTATTGTGAATTTCAATATTTGAGTGAAAAAAAAAAAAAAGGGATGGAAGAGGTTGCTAGATATTTGACAATATTTAAGCTAAAATTGGCTTCAAGCCATAGAACTATTAATAACTAATTGCCCATTAGAAAATAACAATTATTATATAAAATTAATAAATATTTTATCTCAAAAATACTTGACTTAATTTTATGCATCTCTTTTATAGGAAAAAAATATTGCATCACCAATGGCTAAACCCTTAGAAAATATTGCTTGATCGGCCGCCACCTCACTTGTAGATGAGATATATGCCGATCTCTCGCGTGGCTATTCTCATCCTCGGGTAACAAACACAATATTTTCTCCTTTTATAGGTCAACATTCCATGCCACATACCATTACGTCTTACCATCATCTTATAAAATTTTCCTTCCAAGTCTGAGCAGTATTTTTCTATTAGACGATACACCTATGCATTCCTCCACTTCAAATGTGCCTTAAAAAAGAAGAAAAAGAAACAAAAAAAAAAGAGAATTTTTTTTTTATAAGCATTCGAGCAAAAAAAATAATTGAGCAAAAAGAAATTAGTCTTACATTTCTATTTCGCCCTTTTAATATTTCATTGATTTCTAAACATTCAAGAATAAGAAAATCATTTAATGCTTTCTACCAATTTTCATTTATTTAATCATATTAATACACGCCACTCGATTCTTTTGGACATACATACCTCACGCCTATACTTCAAATTTTACCTATATGCCACCGCACATACATATACATGAAAATATGATCGTTTAAACATAGGCATAAAAATTTTTGGTGATATAAATATAAGAAGATAAAATTTATGCATTAGACAGCTAAATATATACCACTCAATTCTTAGGAAAAAAATTGCGTACGTCGATTGTACGCAGAGATGTGTACGTAATAGGGTACACGGGCGTTATACGAGGGTTACATGGGGTTACAAACGTGTTATAACTTGCTTGTAACTTTCGTGTAACTAACTTGTAACCTGTGCTTTTATTTTATCCATTAGGGTTACAAGGTTACAGCGGGGTTACACGAGAGGTACAACGGGGTTATAACCCCCTTGTAAACCCCGTGTAACCCCCATGTACCCTTTTATGTACGTAACTCCTGCGTACGCTTGACGTACAGAATATTTTTCCCAATTATTTAGTGCACATTAATTTTTGGAAATTTACACACATTAATGTTTACACACATAAAAATTATTCAAGAAAAGCTTGCCAAGTTTATTAACACAAGAATCATGTATAAACATATTTAATTATAAAAGAAAAATCACAAAGTAATTAAGATTCTTCAAATTATGAATTTGATGTTCAAAGGTGATCTATGGATGCAACACATAGATTTAATTTTGTTAATTTTAAATCCGCATCCAACTCGATATTAGACGGATAATAAGTTTAGAATTTTTATAAATAAAGCATAAAAATTATGCCAACTATATATATTTTTCTATTTTTTTTTAATTTCTAATTATTTCATTTGCATCTTTCCTTCGAGTTTTTCATAATTCAATCCAACATATTGTATTCATGATTTCAAATATCTGTCATTTCTAATAAGCAACTATTATATTATCATCAATTTTGCTTCTTATATTTTCATTTTTTCTAAGGAACTATCAAGTCTAAATAAAGGGGGTACGTGAACAATAAATTTGAATGTCTGCTAAGACGCACTAACAAGCATCTGGCCGACAAACATGGCAACTAACAAGAATGTATCTGGCCGGTACTTGTTTTAGCCCGTCACCAAAGCAAAAATAAAAATGGCATTCTATTAGGGAAATCACGTAGCTCTCTACGCATAATTGATGTAATTAGTCCAAGTGCAAGCAATAATCCTAGTCTACAGCACATACAATGCATCGACAAGAAGAAGCTTCAGAGTACTTAAGGTCAAAGGCTTGAAAGCATTGATAAAGTACCAGCAGACAGAACGCATAGAAAATATCCAGGTTTTATAGTTGGAAAACATGCAGATAATTTAGCAAACTATGTGAGCAGAAATGGTCAAGAAATATTCAATTAATCCTCAGAAACTAAAACACTCAGTGGGAGTACCTCTCAAAATGAGATTCATGGCAATGTGGATCGAGCCATTCACGTGGAGAATTCTTCGGCATTGTGTTGCTGCTGACCTTACCACCTACAAGCTCCCGTATAGTTTGAACCTTGTTCTCGCGACCTGTTCCGGAATATTTATGGTCAGCTTCCTTCAGTTTCTGCTTGAATCTCTGCTTGCGCCCTGCCGCATTCAGATCTTGATGTTTAACTTGCGAAGGAGGAGCACCGTGTGGTCCCAGGTAGATCTTTTCCTCTGCCTTGACACCCTGTTTTTGGAGGCAGTGGAATATCATGGTTTAGTTTCTGTGCAGAAAGTGGGAGTAAAATGTGAAACTTACAGAGAAAAGTTGCTTCGTAAAGAAGAACCTTTGAAGGAGGCTTGAGATCTTTTAAATTTGGGTCATCCCAATCACCAAGACCAGAGTCTCCAACAGTCAGGCTTGGTATCACAAATCCTTCTGTATCTGCAAATTACTATATCTATTTGATAATTGCAACAAACAAGCCTCGTTTTATATAATATTGTATCTTACACCGCACAACGATTTGCAAGTCTACAAAGGGCTAGTAACCAAGTAACATCTATTACAAATTTTAAGAAGCATGGATGTTACACAAATGTTCCCCTTTCTAGAGAAACAAAACATAGAGATGGCAAACCAATAAAGCTTATTATTGGAGAAATTAAATGAGAAAACAATGGCAACTTCTTTTTTATTTTTATTGTCAAATAATTGACAATAAAAAGTCCGTCTCAACACACACAAAACTATCCAAACCAATTAGATATGGAACATTTCCTGCCGAGCATTGATCTGATGAACCGGATACGGAACACAGCATAAAACATTTATGAGTTCTGTAGATAATCATATGCCATTGCTAGCTGGTAAGCAAAAATATGGGGCACAAAAAATCTCCTTGGCTAAATTATCGTGCATCACGGATAAAATTTTTAAGCAAGGTTTTAAGATTCCATTAGGAATTGGTGTAGGATTCATGAATCATAGTACGAGCCCAACTTTGGTAGCTCTGGTCCAAGGTTCACGTGATAAGAAATTTTGAAACAAAAGTTCCCAAAAAAAAAATCTCTAATATATTTCAACTGACAAAGCATTTGCCTTATAAATAATTAACGCTATAGATTATAAAAAAGGAGGAGTAATTTTAAGCCCAAAGTATAATTTTTTATACCAAGTAATAAAAAAAGGAAGTTTAGAAAATTTTGTTGGATTTTACAAAGAAGGATGTGCAGCTTATCTTCTTGTTATACACTACACAAACATAAAATAAATTTGATATTTAGAAAGTGTTAACCGGCTTTCATACCATTATTTTGCATATGATCCAATCCTTCGCATGAAGAGAGATTAGGTTGACCAAAAGAGAAGTTAGATTTTTTTGTTGAAAAATAGTATAAATTTGTATCAGGGAAAGAAGGGAAAACTGGCAAATATGCTGAGATTCACATAAGATTGAAGAATAGTGGTTAATAGAACATAAAGTAAAAGTTTATTCCCTAATATAGTAGTGCCACTTATATATCAGCTTAGGGTTTTTTTTTTAAAAAAAATATTTTAACTAGATAATAAAATAAGTACATCAAAGGTATTTATCAAGAAATGCACGAGCAAAAAACATAGTGCATATTTTTGGAGGATAAAAAAGTGGTAATTTTCTCATTAAGCAAATAACAATATATATACAGCTTAGACTAGCCCTCATACAATTGGAGAGAAATTCAAATCATGATAAAAAAGATAGAAATAAAAACACAATAATGATTAATTAATGAAGGATAATTTCTACCCCTCAAATGTAATAGCGAACCAACAGTTTTCTAAACCGGATATGTATATCAACATCCCGTGTTAAGTTAGGTTATATATGTCATACATCCCAAATTTTCTGCTGAGATAACTGAAGCAGTCCAAGAAAGATACTTGCTAAAAATGTCTGACAATCTGCTACTGAGTTAATATATAGATTAGTTGAACAACCCCTTCATTGGCCGTCTAGAAAAGTGTTTGATAATCTCTATATATTTGGTTCGATCATGGTATACCAAATCCTTTGAAAAAATAATAATTGATTGAAAATCATTGAACATCTTAAAAGTACTTTGGTTCTACATGTGAATATCCACCATTAGTTTATTTAGCCACATTCCTTCACAAATTCCTAAGGCCAAGGCACAATATTTAGATTATACACTGCTTGTTGCGACCACGACTTGTTTTTACTTATCAAGTGACAAGTTCATCCCATGCAAATAAACAGTAACCCGTGGTAAATATTCCATCAGCCAATTCTCCTGCCGAGGTAGCATCGGTGGGATCTCAAAGTCATGGTTCTCAATTTTCTTGAAAATTAATCCCATCCCAGAGACATCTTTAGGTATCTCAACATTCAAAAGTCTGCTTCTAAATGATCTTCAGTCGGATCGTTCAATGTTGACTCATTACACCTACAGTAAAAATAATGTCGGGTTTTGTATGTGATAGATAAATAAGTTTCCACACAAGTTTTTGATACCTCCCTTTTTTAACTGGGGTATTATCCTCTTTGTTTGACGTTCGTCGGTTGGGATTCATAGGAGTATCTATTGGTTTACATCCCAAAATTTTTGTCTCCTGCCTAGGTAGCATCAGTATAGATCTCAATGTCATGGTTCTCAATCTTTTTGAAGATCAATCCACATCTCAGAGTCAACTTTAGGTACCTCAGAATTCAAAACATCGATTCAAAATGATCTTCATTTCGATCGTTCATATGTTGACTTACTACACTCATAGAAAAATTAATGTCAGGTCTTGTATGTGACAAATAAATAAGTTTCCACATAAGTCTTTAATACCTCCCTTTTTCAACGGGTTATATCCTTACGTTGATGGTTGTCGATTGGGATCCATACGAGTATCTGTTGGTTTGCATTCCAAAATTTTTGTCTCATTTAATAAATTAATGCTATGTTTTCTCCAACATATGACAATGTCTTCTTTGGATCTAGTTGTTTCCATTTCCAGGAAATATTTTAAAATTCCAATATATTCGATCTCAAACTCATAAGTCATTATTCTTTTAATTGTTTTATGTTCTCTTATGTTATAAGAATAATATCATCTACATATACAATAAAAATGGTTATCAGTTCAGAAGATACTATGGAAAATCCGTTGTTTGAAAATTATTACTCCAGAAACAGTTCTATTTGAAAAATTTTGTTTTGAAAGCGCTGCTTTACAATTGTCTGTGGATAAATGTATGAAAAACCTTCTGATCATATTATATAGAATTCATAGATTTTAAAAATAACCTCAATTTGGTCTTATGATCAATCTTCCAAAGAGAGATTAGCGAAAAAAAATTCAACCTATTCAACCTAATATTTTTTTACGATTAGTATCCAAGCTTAAAAAACACTATTGCTTGGGAGGATCGTGAGATCTTACCCGTGCAAAAGAGCATTTAACTCAAACCATAAGAAGCCTCTACGGAAACAAGAATAAATAACCTAAGAACCCACTCCAAGTGCATAAATAATTACCAAGCCTGAAAAACTTTATCAGTATACAACAAAATTTATAACTTATATTGCAAATAATTTACAAAGCTTTACAAATAGAAGATCTAATGGTTGTTTTTGTACACAAATGAAACAATCAGAGAAGAATTGGTTCTTTTAGCTAGGTCCGAAATAATTTTATAAGATCAAAATTATTCCACGATTACACAAGGACAAACAGCCCACCTCCTCGAGCGCTGCCATTCCAGATGTCAACACCAAGAAAGATGGTTTGAGGGAAGTTCTTAGCGATGGCGGCAGCACTCAATGGAGACCAGAGGGCCCACCCGATGAGCAGAGGGAGGAAGAAGAAGCTTTTTGCTTGAAATTGCAAAAGAAGACAAGGTCATTTCCGCAGACTTCAGAGAACCATAAGATCTTACCTTTGGGTGCCAAAGAATTGCAAAGATGGTCAAGATCGATGCAGAGTTCTTGCGAAGAGAAGGTCATGACTGGTATCCTTGTCGGCTTCTGGGTAAATAAGGAGAAAAAAGGACGGAACGTGGGATGTGGGGCAAATACCACAATCGCAGTTCAATAAAAAATACGCCATGAATCGAAACATGATCCATGCAACGTAGATTCAAATGCTAAATTTTATTGATTTGGTTTGGATCTCAGGTTGAAATGCTGAAGCAAACAAGCCCAAAGTGTGATCAGCACGACATTGATAGTACCCATTGACAAAATAATCTTAGTGAACCTTTCAAAACATGCGTTTGAACGCATATAATGATTTTTTTAGTTTGCACACCAGCTAATTATTTGTGTTGTTCTTTAATTTTGGAGGTATCTCCATATACACTTCTTCCTCAAAATTCTCATTAGGAAATGCACTTTAAATGTCTAGCTGATGTAAACTCCAATCCAAATTGATAGCTAATGATAATAATATTCGTATTGTGTTTAGTTTCGTCACTGGTGCAAATATCTCCTGATAGTCGATCCCACAAGACTGAGTGAACTCTTTTACTACAAGTCTAGCATTGAATATTTCATTGCTCCCATATGCTTTGTATTTAACAATGAATACTCATTTGCACCCAACAGTTTTTTTCCCATGTGGCAAAATTGTTATGATCCAGGCATATCATTCTTTTCAAGAAGAAGAATCTCTTCTTTCACAATTTTATTTCCAAACAAGAATAGATAAGACCTCTTAGATTGAACTTGGAACCTACAAATTATCCAAATTCTAAATAAAAAACTTGTTAGAGGATGATAATTTTCCATGTCACAAATTTTTCTATATGATGTTTTGTTCTTCCTCTTGATATCCATGATGTGTTGACCCAACCCTTGTGTGCGTACCTGGGGTGTGTGAAGTTGGTTCCAATGATTTACATTCCGATTTTGCAAATTGTCCCTTACATGATAACTATATATTTTTTTCTTTCTAGAGTACACAGAATTCTTGGTTCTTGGTGGGAGCTATGAGAGGGCTTAGTGTTGTAGGTTCATTTTTATGTTGATTTGTGATCGTGAGGACAAGAGTAAGTACATCAAAAGTATAAAAAAGGTGAGCTTGAGGTTCCTAAATGGTATGTCAAATATGATATTCTCTCCAACTCTCCTCCTGAATGTTAGATTTGGGGTAATATGGTTGATTTTCAAAGAAGGGTAAGATTCATAGAGTTGTAAATTTTTTGTATTTCGAGAGAGTAACATTTATACTCTTTTTTTTTAAAGTAGCCCACAAAAATACATTTGATTGACCTAAGATCTAGTTTGCTCTAATTAGGTTGATATAGATGAACAAAAGCGATGTAATAAAAAAATTTTAGAGGTGAGTTAAAGGTAAATGAATGAATATGTGGATAGAATTTTGTGAGTGCATTAAGAGATTTGTTAAAATTTAACACTTTGTTGGACATCCTATTTATGAGTGATAAAAGAAAC